AAAGGAGAGGAGCGGGAGAAGAGACTTAGAGGGTGGAAGAGTAAGTATCCATCAATGACCACATAGATAGTAGCCCCTCGATTCCCTCTCCTTCTCCAGGCCTCCCGTCGCCTCCATGTCAGCAACCACTGCCCAAGAAACGAGCCTGACAGGGCCTGATCACATCAGAGTCCCACATGGCACAGTTCTCCCGTGAAGGCATTACAGCAGCACGCAGTATCGACATCAGCAACAAGTAAGTATTCCCTCTCTCTCTCAATCAATCCACAGACCCCGATCACCCTCCTTGTCGCGTCCAACTCAGCAATGAAGATAGTGTGTTGAATGCCACGTCGTCAATGGTAGACAGCGTGGCATGCGCCACGCCAACAAGCCAAAAGACAGCTGGCGCCAAAGCAGAAAGGCGCCACCACGCATGCAGCAGTCTCGCGTCATCGTTGCACAGTGCCAGCATCCAGCCAGCGTCAAGCCAACGTACAGCCAGCGTCTAGCCAGAATCAAGTCAGCGTCAAGTCAGCACGGCAAGAATGAATGCTGACTCTCGGAGGCAGGGGCCTTAGGTAGGGTTGACGAGTTTGACCTGCCTCCAGTCTCCCACCCACGGTGGCTCAGATTGACTCACAGCTGACGGCCTGGATCTCGTACGGTTACAGACTTCCACTTGGTCCGAATACTGTCTGGGTACCTGCATACACACAAGTGTGTGTGTCTGATCGGCGGCCTGGCTGGGTCCATGCAGACCTTGACTGGAGGGCCTCATACAGTTGACTTCCAGTCAATTGTAGGGTGCAGGGCCCCCGAATTCAACATTTGGGGGCCTGCCTCTTGGCAATGCGGCCTAGGGGTGACGTCGGGCCTGCGGGTGGCCCTTAGACAGTCAACAAGGCATATTGAAGTGGGTTATTGCATTCCTGCCGGCCCAATTTTCGAGTTTCATCGCAGAAATACATTAACTTCCTTTTAGTCCACGTCCATATGCAACAATAATATGAGGAGCAGTAGGTAATAGTTCTTTCTTACTAAATCATCTTGCTTCAGACAGAGGTTGAGATTGCTTTTGCGGTTTTCCTCTGCCACCTGTAGAGAAGTACCCGTGCTCCAGTATCTTCTCAACTTCATGGCCTCCATAAATGGAAGGAGGAAACATAGATGGTCTGTTGGGAAATTCATGTCCCTCTACATATGGCAGTAGTTTAGACGCGTGAAATACAGGATAGGTCTTGRGGTGTGGGGGTACGTCAATTCTATATGAGGTTCAATCTGTATCCCCAATCACCTTCAGAACTTCCCAGGGTCCATAGTAGACAGGCAGTAGTTTTTGAGACACATTCCCTTCTAAGGAAAATTCTTTAGACTTCACCCATACAAAATCACCTTCTTGGGATTGAGATGGCCGACGATGCTTGTTGGCCTGTTTAATCATTTGCAACTGGTTTTTCTATATATTTTCCTTGACTTTCTTTATGTCTTCTTGATATAGAACTGCAAATTCTCGAGTATCTGGGGTTAGCCGTTGAATCTGGTCCCGGGTTAGAGCATCAATGGGACGTCATGGCTTCCAACCTTTATGCAGTGCATTCGGTGTTCTCCCTGTGACAATATGTATACTATTATTACATGCACTTGAAATCTTAGGTAAGTTCTCACCCCAATCTATCTGATCGGGTCGTACATACATGCGCAAAAGTTGCTAGCACAGACGATTCATCTGTTCAGTTTGCTCATTCGTTTCAGGGTGTCTACCTGACGACATGGTCAACCTAGTGCCATAGGCTTCCATCAACTTTTGCCATTGTAAATCGGTGAACCAAATATCCCTATCTGAGACTCTGTTTTTTTAAAATCCATATTCCGAAACCCATCGCATCTGGAACTTTTGGATGACAAGTTTCGTCTTAGCTTCAACAGTCAAGGGAATGAACATAGCATACTTTGAGAATCGATCCACAATGACCATTACCTAACTATTGCTATTCCGACTCTTATTGACGCTCATGAACTCGATCGAGATAGACTCACCTAGCTCACTTGGAATAGGTAGTGGTCTCAATAGCCTGAATAGTCCCAATAGTCACAGTGGATTCTCATGTGAGGGTTTGTTCCTTTGGCAAACAAGACAAGTTCGCACATAGGTTAGCACATCCTCATTAATTCCTTTTCATTAAAAGCGTTCTCTCACATTTGCATACGTCTTTTTAATGTCCTTCAATATCATAACATTCCCAATAATCATACTCTTTATTGGTTCCTTATGTGGAATGCATAGTCTTTCTTCGGTCTTATCAACAAAGAGGAGTGTCATCAGTCATTCGATATTCAGGGAAGAGTTCAGGGTTTCTCTGTAGGGTCCCAATGATAGGACTCCATATCGGTTCATTTGCATAACCCTTATGGATTTGTTGTTTCAGTTCTTTCCCAACATCGAGGTAAGAGACAATTGTTCCAAAAAATTCAGCACGCGTGGACAAAGCATCAACAACAACATTAGACTTTCCTTTAATTGTTTTCAGTTCAAAGTCAAATGTATCAATAAAAGCGGACCATCTAACTAACTTGTCAGAGA